AGAGAGAGAGAGAGAGAGAACGTGCCTTTACTGGACGTGTAAAGCAACGCCGCCTGGAAAGAGACAACCTGCATGTCGTCCAGGTTTTCCTCAATGGACATCTGAACCGCAAAGCCAGCATCTGGGTTCACGTTGGGAAGGGACAACAGATCTGTGGAGCGCACAAAGAAGTTTCCGTGGAACGTGTGGATGGACAGACCTGCAGAGAGACAGAGAGACAAAATCAATCAAACTTGACTGAAAGCACCAAACTATAAACAACAAAAACATTTGTGCTTTAAACTTTAAATATACATCATATACATCAGGAATATTTTAATGCATTCAGGGAGTGTAAAGGCTGTATTGTTTATAAGCATGCATCAAAATCATTTAAATAATAGTTTGAATTATTGATGAAAAACAATAAAGTTTAACACAGCAGCTAGTGCTATTATCTACAGAGAGGAAAACACATAAACCAATCCTAATTGTTGCTGCAGAAAACAACAATACAATAAAAGCACAAAGGGGAACATAAAAAAAACATGTACTAATCAGAAAGGAAAGAACTTTCTCAAAGTCACATGTGGGATCAATATTAAAGTCAGTGCCAGCTCTTGTGCCAACGGACCTTTGGTGCAGCGTATCCTCATGACGGCCTCGAAGCCGATCTTCCTGGTTATGTATCTCTTCAGATCCTTCTGGAAGCACTCCACCTGTGCGGGGTTGTGCTGGTGGTGGTAGGAGGGGTAGTAGTAAACGCTCCCTGCCGAGTATCTAGATATGCAGCCTGGGAGGGAGAAGGCACACAAGAGGACAGATGAGGCAAAGATGATGAATGCAGATTGTCTTAGTTTTGAAATGATGAACCCAGCAATTCTCACTCTCTCCCCGTGTGCTTGCTGCTGGTCTTTTTCCATTACCACTGATAGATAAATGAGCTGTGTTTTTCACCTATTGCACCAACTAATTATCCATGTTTTGAGCACTTAGTGTTTTAAAACCCACAAAGGAGTAACAGCAACAGTTTCCATTACTAGATTTCCATAGCTTTTCTTTCCCCAGAGGTCAATTTATTTGGAAAATAAGGCCATAAGCCTGAAAAAAGTATAAAGTCGTAATTAAAAAATCATAATATTTTCACATAAGCTTCAAATGTAAAAACCAAAACAACAACAAACTAAATTAGAAATTTGGCTCTCCTGGCCAAACCTAAATTAGCAATATCCTGTATTGAGTACTAGACACGTAAACAAACATAAAAACTCTCCCTCCTTCCCACCCATTCAGTCAGGGACTTACCTAGCGATGCCAGGTCGCAGTACTGAGCGCTGAGCAGGAACAAGTCAACTGCCACCTGCTGGCCGGAGCAGTCCAGAGCCAGCTTCTTGTAGAAGTCTGTCGCTGGGGATAAGTGCTGGATGTCCTGAAGGAAAACGCATGAGATGAGACCATGTGCTTAAAATTAGTCAATATCAAAGAGTCTTATTATTGTTGAAAAGCCAGAAAGCCAGATCTCTCCTGAATGTGGGGCCGGCTGTAAAAAATCAATCACTCTTCCATGACTTCCCACAACTAGGTCACAGCACACTTATGACATGAGCCATTTCATTCTGCCTTGTTTGTCGGGGTTTTTCAGTGAAAATGAAAAAACAAGATCATCGTATGTTTTTGTGCAATGACTGATCTGTAATCCTCTGTTACTTCTGATATTCTTCTTGTTTTGTTGGGGGCGGTGGAGATATTTTTGGCTTTATTGATAGGACAGCTCAAAATAGACAGGAAAGTGGGGAATAGAGAGCACAGGTTGGACTCAAACCCATGGCCCCAGCTGTACTGGGTGTACTACCAGGGAACAATCAGAGCTCTTACCTTGGCAGATGCCCGCTGGTTGGGGTCTTCTCTGGACTGGAGTGCCCCCACACCGAGGTTCGGCAGCTGGGTCTGAAAGATGGACATGCGCCCTCCGGTGGGCGACAGCAGCTTGAAGGCCGCTTGCAGAGCTGAACCGAGGGCAGACTGGGTCTCCATGGTCTTTTCAAATAAACTTGGCAGGCTCTTCAGCAGATCCTGCACAAGCTGAAAAACAAATACACGGAGTGAGTCTCATTTTTGTGACTCATTACTGATCCCTGAGGGAAAACATTTGTTTCTCATTTCAACTTTATTCCATCTGCAAGGAGGTCAGACTGAGTGCAATTTAAGTTTTTTCTTACTCACAGTAGATATTAATGTTAATTCCTGCACAGTACAAAGACAAAACTCCGCTTAAAATCCATCGGTTCTGGACTGTTACTACTCAGGTTTACAACATTGCTTGAATCAATGTCAAATTTCTTACCTCTTTGCATTCATTGAGGTTTACTAAAAGGCTGTCTGGTGTTGGTAAAAAGATATCTGTGGAGCACAAAAGGTTATTATTTAAACAAATATAATAGTCATATGCACTGATATTATAATAGCGATGAGACTCATAATATTCTATAAAATTCTAATAATATCTAAGTAATATATAAATATAAACAGAAATACAGAGTTGTTGTTTGTGATGCAGCAAACTTGACATCATTAACTTAATAGATCAGAAAAATCAGTCCAGACATCTTGATGATTTTAGTAATTTTGCATAAGTTACAGTTAAAGGAGAAGGCAAGAGTCCCCCATAACATCACACTCATCACTGATCCAGGCAGACTGTGATTTCTTGATATCATATTTATCAGTTCTTAATTTCTGCAGTAAGTTTGCATACAGTTCTAGCTCAGTTTTGCTGTAGTAATGAGCGCGTGGCCTTTGCTGTCAGCTGCATCTCACCTTCAATGTCAGACACAATGAGCATCTGAGGCTGGGAAAGTCCCTCCTGGAGGTTGTAAAAGTGGATGGTGCTGTCAAAGGTGATGAAGCCAACCTTTGTCCGCGAGTCTCCAGGAAGCCTAGCACACACACACACACACACGTTACACACACGTTTGCCATTCTGGCAGATATATTGACATAGTGGTCAACTGCTGAATTAATACAGGGGAACAATTAACTTTTATTAAGCAAGTGTATTTACACACATTAAGAAAACCTTAATAAACAACCTTGAGTTAAGGAAATCTAAACTTATCTACACAAGAAATGTTTAACATTTAAACTGAATTTGTGGAACAATCTGTGCAGTTTAAAATCACAACATGAAAATACAAAGAAGGCCTTGCTCTCTTCTCAACATCCCTAATAACTGGACATTTTATGTTGTACATACGCATTGATGTTGTCCAGCAGTGACTGGCAGAACACATTCAGGTAGCCCGTTTCCACTGCATTGTGGGATACGTCAAGAACGAAGAGGTAAACAGCAGGCTGTGGTGGCCTCAGCTGGGTAAATCAGGGCAAACACATTTAACTTAACTCAAGGTCAGTAAAGACACACCATTACACACAGATTTCTGTACAATTTGTAAACACATCACATACATGTAATTTAGTATTTAACTGTCTTATTTAGTTTGTTCATAAAAAGTTAGCTATGGCGAAACTGAGCATGCATTAACTGTTGTCAAAGCTGTTGAAACCTACCATATATTCTGAAGGAGCAATGAATTCGATGGTGGCATTCTGGACCTCAGGTCTTTTGTGTGGCTCTCCGTATGATCTGCTGACTGGGTTGTACATAAACTCCTCTGGAACTACATACAGACACACACAAGTTATAGTGTTAAATAGCGCACTATGTACTTAGTGTGTAATTCAAGTCTCAATTATCATGAGGAGGATAGTTATTCAAGTCCACAGTCATAAACATCATAAACATGTATACATTTCCAGAACTATCTTTAACAAAGTAAAAACTATAAATTAGAAGCAAAAGCATTGACTAAGAGTGATCTTTTTTCAGTTTCATTAAAAAAAGACAGGAATTTGGGGTCATCACAACCAGGTCCCAGAAAAGAAAAATAATTTAGCTTTGTTATTTTCCCCATTTGTTACTTAATGGAAATACTGTACATTTGTGTTGCTAAACTGTACTTGTCGATCACTTCCTGTGTTCTCACTGACAGTCGCTTTTTTTTAGATGATCATAGCTCTTTCATCACTTCTCTTACCATCATTGACCCGATAGCACAGGTTGCACTTCCACCTCCTTTGGTCAAGGAAAGAGACAAAAGGGTTGATGTATGTTCTGCAGGAGCGACACCTGACGATGGTGCTGGATGTCACCACAGGAAGTTGCTGCAAGGAAAACACAGAACAAAACGAACCCTTGTGTGAGAACTGCTTCCAGGCGAACTCATTTTCTTGTTAGCAGCTTGTTGTAACTGGCATTTCAATAAAGACTTTTTTGTTTCTGGCCAAGTTGTGCAACTACTCTGTCGTCTGTGTCCTCAATTAACACAGGAACAACGTGAATTCATTCTGGCAGATTTTGCCCAGAGCTGTATTAAGTCAAATCCTATTCTGGGGGAAAAAAAGTGTTAAGAGAAGTCTCAATGTTTAATAAGAAAAAATCCAATTGTAGTAGTGGTATTTTTATCTAAATCTAGGAAGCATAATTAAGGATGAGGCTGTAGATGATTTTTAACGTCAATGTGCTATGATGTTTCCTTTCATCCCTTCACACTGCTGCCACAGAAATATCCTCTAAATGCCTTCCCCTTAGTAAAGAAAAAAAAGGAAAGTAAGAAATGGGTGGTTATTACAGAGTACTGCCTGATGTGTGCGCTTATCAAATATTGAACTTACTGAGAGGTCTTTGAAGGGGTGGAGCAGCAAGCCCAGTGGCATCTTTGCTTTATTGAGCAGAGCCTGGGTCTGAGGGATGCTGGTTAGCGTACTACGAAAAACCCTGGAGAGATACACAGAAGTGCAAAGTACTTGAGCTGCATGCAAAGATCATGTTTCACAGACATGATACAAACACATCTGGTTATGGTAAATTGGAAACAAACAAAGAGCCACAGAGGAATGAGACCTAACAATCAAATATTTCAAGCCAGCGGCTGTTGATGACTAGCTGGGCTTTAGGGCACAGCTAATGAGGATCCTAACGCATCAACACAGCCAAAGCAGCAGTATTCAACAATATGGAAATGAGACTCAACTATTTTTCTTCAGAATGACTAACCCTGCTTAAGTGAATAGATGAACCAGTCCAGTCAGTCCAATGAAAAAAAATGTTTTGTCTGACTGTAGCCAAGCAACTCACAGGGCAACATATAAAGAGACAAATTAATGATAGCTGATCTACTGTAAAATGTGTACATTTGAACATATGGTAACCAAACCACAGTAAACAATTGCTTGTTCCCCGTCAGTAATTTCAAATGCAAAAAGTACCACTATAGATGCCTTTAATCATTTTCTTTACACAAACTTACATAGCATAGTCTGAAACCGTTTAAAAGGATAATAATCAAATGAAAGAGAATAAATATAGATGCATGCTATCAGTAGTAGTCCACCATGGCTTACTCTGGGTTGCAGTTGATCTTCTGCAGGTCCTGTGGGAGGCAGGGTGTCGGGGCAGGGATCGGTTGTGGTGGCAGCAAGTTCCTCTCCTGCAGTAGGTTGACCACTCTCAGGGCCTCTGGAGTGCTGGACTGGAGGCTCATGGCCGCCAGGGACGGGCTCAGCTGGGCTGGCCCTGGGCCACCAGGTGGCTAAGAGAAAGGACAACAACAAGCTGTTCAGTTGATCCACTTACCAAAAGCTTGTGACGGCCAAATCATCTAGCATTGATAGCCACCCATGCTTTGACCAACTGGTGTCAAAATCTGCTGATATTCACTGCCCCCAAACCTGACCACTTAAATGCCAAAAAGAGCACAAGGATTTTAATATGTCCTCCAGAATTTTAATCTTTTCATGCCACAGCCAGTGCCAGTCATGGATGACACTGACTAACATCCAATATTAAACAAATAAACCACAATCATTCCGATATCAGCTAACCAATGTGTCCACCTGCTCTGACAAAAATCATTTGCTTAATAAACTTTAAAATGTTCCATAAGCGTATAAAAGAAGGTTCTGTGGTAAATTCACTGCTCCTGGTTTTGTCAGCTTTGCTTCTACAATTGCACAGAAGTTATATCTCAGTGACAACTTAACATTTCCATAGATCTTGGACAGACAGAAGGGTTTTGCATGTGCACTAGGTGAAAAGCAAATCCATGACAGAAATGGCTGAGCACGTCGTTCCACAACCAGTAAGGGAAATACAAAACAAACAGTATATGCAAAATGCTCTGGAAATACTCAGTCAGAACACGGCTTCTGCTCACCTGCTGGTATGGCTGAGGTGCTTGAGTGTAAGGCTGAGTGGCGGCCTGCAACGCAGGGTGCATGGGGGGGGTCGAGGTATTCTGGTACCCAGGGGGGAGGGAGGGGTAGTGGCCCAAGTGCCGACCCGGTGGTCCGGGCTGGGTCAGGCCAGCTGTGGAAGGGAACCAAAATGAGTTCAGTTTGATTGAAATTACAGAAAAAGTGAAGACCTTAAAATGATGAGGGTGGTCTTATTCTAGTTTCCTTGTGGTTAATAATTTCAGTGAAAAGACCCAACAGAAACAGAAGAATACTGACACTGATTGTGGCCTCATTTTTTTTATTCATATATAAGTAAAGGGAATGACTAGTAGAACTTCCATGGTAGACCAGAGTGAGTCAATAAAGCTAGAATTTTAATTTGGGACAATGGTTAAGTCTGGGACAGCTGAAAGTGGAATTTAAAAATAGGGACAATATACACTTTTTAGAAATGTTTTGCCTTCTTCAAAAACTCCTGTGAACTGAAAGAACCGTTTGTCAATTTACTGCAAGTGTGTAGCTGCTATAAAACCCTACTTGCTAAACCTAGACTGTAAATGTGGTTGGTGCAAAAAGAATCTAAGATGTGGCAGAAAAATGGCCTTACCCATTTTGTTGTCAACATGATTATAGCTGTTTGGTGCTTGGGGGCCATTGCCAGCCACAGTTCCTGTTTCAAAGCAAACACAGATGTGATGTGAATAATTTTAGTGACACTTTTCCCTATTTCTATGCCAGTGTGCTAACCACAGGCAATGGATATGGAACGATCTACAGGAGAAGATGCATATAAGATGGATGCAAAGGAGAACTGAAACAACAATACTAATGATGATGGGACTTGATGTATGTTTTAAAGCCTATTTGAGGTCATATGGGTGATATGGTGGGAAAAAGATGACAGAGAGTGGCAAACAAGCTACCAGTAGGAAATATAGTAAAAGACATGCACTGTTACTAAAATAATACTGAGCTAAAGAAGCACTAACACCCAGCTTTCTACATTGTTCTCTAAAAGTAAGATACTGGAGCTCGGTATCAGATGACTCTGCAGAGCTTCATATTTGGAATCAATTTAAAAAAAGAAATGAGTACATCCCTAGAGACAATGAACAAAAGCACGGAGAGGACAGGATGGGCATCACAGCTACTGACATAACATCTAACAGCTACTGACAGATTTGGCCACACCTGGACATTCAATATCCCCCTCCTGGCAGTCGGGCTCAGTGGGGGACAGAGTGCTGTTAACAACCCCCCCACACTGAGCTGGCATGTGGAGGAAGGAGGGGAGGGAGGGGAAACAATGGCAGGCGATCAGAACAAAATTGACGGGCTTACAAAATGATGCAATATCATGATCATCACTGACAGCGCTCTGATTTTACAGTCGGCACAGACCCACAAAAGGTTTGTATTTTAAACGCCCCATTAATACCACAGTATACTTGCAGAATGTGTGGGGGAATTGTTGCGCTGTACAGTTTCCAACAAGCTTGCTAATCTAGTTAAAACACACGACAATCTGAACATCTGCAGTCGGTCTCATACCAGTCCACTGGCACCTTTACCACAAATATCTGATGTGCCAAGATTAAAAAACAAAACAACAAAAAAAACTTACCATCTGCTTTGGGGGGTGGAGGTGTGGCATTGCCCATTGGGGGTCCAGTGGGAGGCGGTGTAGGTTTCATGGTTGGTGGTGGGCCTGTAGGTGGGGGGCCATAGGGAGCTCTGCTTGGTTGGTATGTGTGTGGGGCCATGGGATTCATTGGTGGAGGTACAGTGCCTGGTGAAAAGAAACAACTACTCATTATTTTCTAATCTTTTTATTTTTACTTTCTGACTCATCAATAACTCGTTTATTACATAAAATGTGACAAAATAGCAAAACTATTCTGCTTTTTTTAATACATTACTAATAGGATTAATCACACATCAAAGATGTGGGTGAATAATATTCTTTCTATTGACTTGGCTTCAGCGGCAATTCTTGTGAGAGGCTGACACACCAACACCCTTAATCATCTCGGGTGAAACTGCATTGTCAGTAAGGTAATTAAGGCAGAGAGACTTCTAAAATTGTGTCAACATTACTGTGTCATGTGAAGCAAGAGCACTCTGTGGTGTTGGCACATATCACGTAGAAGAGATATGAGGCATCACTGATGTGTAACATTATAAGCTCTAACTAGAGGCGACAACAGCTGGTGGCAATGCTGACCCTCAGCCAGCTTATGTCCATCTCTACTGACAAACCAGACAAATCAAATTTGTCTGCACTCCAATAATAATTTATTGAAGTAAAGGATACTTACACCATTCACTAAGGGCATTGTATACTTATTATTATTTATCTACAGGGAAGAATCTATCATTCCAGGGCGGTTAAAAGACTACAAGATTATTTATTTATTAAGATTAATTTATGTTTTACATTTTATAATGGGCACAGTGACATGTCACTTTAATTTGAAACACTCACTGTTAATACTGAAGGGAATAAACCAAATACAATTGCAGTAGGAGACATTCAGCAGCACAATAGAGCCAAAACTGTCCTACAGATTATCGGTGATGGTTTAATTGATGACATTTTAAAGCAAGAAAGCAGTCAACAGACTACACATCTCCACAATAACTTCTCCAGTTCGCTGCTACTTTCACTGTCACCATTGTACTGGGAAGATATGCCCTGATGGTGCAGCTGGGGGAAAGGTCACTAAAATCAATCAGACTCTGATGTCTTGTTGGGGGGGTGTGTGAATGTAAACAGCAATTTTCAAGCCAGTCTAACCATAAGAATGACAGATATGCAGGCAGACTGAGGCGAACACGTGACTTCTACTTCTATGCAGAAGTACTGAACTAAAGATAGCTTTAAAAATCAAGGTTAATTCACTAAATGCTGTGACAAGCAATTCAGACATTGTGACTGCAGATTACACAACCAGCGTAGAAAGCTCATATCACTTAACAAACCACTTCCTCAACACAAAATGTCAATGACTACTACAAAAAAAAGGTACTGAGATTCTCCATGAGTGGCCTTATGTTTGACACTGTGAGCTAGATACTTCCCAGTGGAGACAACTACTAACTGAATCTCTCTAAATACCCAGAAGATACAATTCTGTGCATTTTGCTATCATCACCAGTAGAAAGCAGAATTTTAGCGATATATCATACACCAGAAACTGAAATTAAAATCTGGAGTTGTCCTTAAAGCCACGTCATACTGCTGCTTAAGAATCACACTGGAAACAATAAAATTCTTATATGAACTTTGCACCAATTCAGAGTAAATGAGTCTCTGTGTCTGGGAGGGAGTCAGAGGCAAAAGCAAGCCAATGTGTTTAATGGAGGAGCAGAGGGCAATGTCCAGCTCCAGCATGTCAGTATTCTAGATATGCATATCTGCAGCGTATGCCAGTGGAAGAAGACAATGACAGGGGAAAAAGATAAGACACAGTAATCGAGCTATGAAAAAGTCATTGGACGGGGATATTTAAAACAGAGCGTATGTATTTTTAAAAGTGACAGTGGATAGGTGATTGTCCCAATTATTGTCTATCCTTTATGTAAAAATAAAAACATATTGTACAGTTTGGACTTCAGTGGAGCCTTTGTGCTCGTACCTGGCTGGGTGTATCCGTGCGCGGAGGTGGGGGGCATCCTCGGGCCTGGGGGCTGGGTGGCACTGTGGGACACATGGGCTGGTGGTGCAGAGCTGTAAACCGCAGACGACGGCGGTGGCGGCGCTGTTGAGCTTACGGCAGGATTCACGTGATTCGCCACGGGGCCGCGGGGAGGTGTGCTCATGGATGCGGGTGGCCCCATTGGTGGGGGAGCTGTGTTGTACTGCCAAGCTGGAGCCACGGGCTGCGGCTGCTGTGGGTTTTGGTAGTAGCTACTAGAAGACACCGAGGGAGGGGGAGGTGTGGCCTGTGCAGGGGGCAGCCGTGGACCAGGGCTGGGGCAGGCAGACTGAGGAGGGGTATGGGATGGAAGCCCTCCCATTGGGGGCCTGGTCAACAGTGGCTGGCCTGGAGAAGCTGGGTAGGAAGTCAGTGGTGGGCCAGGCTGGTAGGAGCTGACTTGGGGGGCAGGCTGGTAGAGCTGACTGGGGAGCAGTAACTGGTAGAAGTCTGACTGGGGGGCAGCTTGGTAGGAGCTGACTGGGGGGGGCAGGCTGGTAGGAAGCTGACTGGGGGGGCAGGCTGGTAGGGCCCAGAGGGGTAGAGTCCAGGGCCGGGTGGTGCAGGAGCTTTGGCCTGCATTGGACTGTAGTTTGGTTGGTGTGTCATACCGTAGCTGACCCCTGGCAGCTGCTGTAGGGCAACTGGATTCTGTGATGGACCTGGGAAAGAGAGGGTGAAAAATAAGGGGGTATGTTGGAGACTGGGAGTCAAATACAACAGATCAGTGGTTACGTAGTTATTACATATTTCTCATATCCAAAAGAACACAGATCAGCCATCGAAATCACACCAACGCCCTTTCAGACGTCACTGCTTAAATGTTCTGGGAATCTTACACGTCAGCTACAACTCGTCTTTGTTTCAAACCTTTCTGAAACTCTAAAAGAGCTGTAAAACTATCACTTCTCAACCTATTTGGTACGTCTTTTCACCGGTGACCAGTTGTTGTTTTTAATGTCTTTTCAACTGAAAAATGTTCCCTTGTTGTTTTAGTAACTCGTATCACTTCACTGATTTACTCATGGACGTTTTGCTAGTTGTTCCCTACACTTAAATCTAAATTTAAAAAATTTAAATCACCAGAGAACAGTTTTCATTATTCTTTTAGTCAACTGTTTGATCAATAAATGCATCCTTGCTAACTACAGTGCAAATGCAAACCTGTTTTAATGGTATGCAGAGATGGAAATGTATGTATACACTTTAAACATTATTATTATTTTGCCAAACAATCCCAAACTCACTACAGGAACACAGCATATCTGCAGTAAAAAGGATTTGTAAATATCTACAAAGGGGAAGGGAGAAGATCAAACAAAGTATTTAAATATTTACAAGCTCAAACATCTATTTACAAATGAGGTTATCCAGAGATCCGGAGAGAAAGAGTGAGAGAGTGTCAAACAAAATATCTCAACATTTCCAGAAGCTGTATAAGAGATCGGACAGAAAGAGAGTGAAGCTCAAACGTGGCCCACACAGCACACCTACTGACGCAAGAGGAGAGGGAGACCCTGGTGCTGTGGACTGATTACTCTGAGCAGCATGCATGGGAATGAATTACAACATAATACAATAGATTAGAATATATTTCTTGTCCTGACGGTCTGAATAAGATGCTAAATTTGTCATAGGTTGCTTTTTAGAAATAAAATCACAAATCTACTTTCTATAACTTACTGTGTGTCTAAATGTGCGACATAGTTTAAAGCTTGTGAAACTTTATATTTTCTGAACATTAAAATGATATTTCATGACGCATAAACGTAATGATTTAATTTGTAATGATATGTTTCTGTACTGTCCTGGATTTCTTCCAGACAATCTGTGTGTCCCAGGTGCTATTTTTACTGTCACTGAGACAACTGGACATCTTTAACTTTGAGCGCTGTGCTCATCCCAAAATGTGCACAAGGATTACAGCTCTAGATTATCTAGGTCTTGTCATGCTTGACCAAAGCCATCATAAAAAAACTTCTGTAAGGTAGCCTTGAGTTCAAAAGCTAAGCAATCAGCTTCCCGGACAGATGAAGGCAGCAACGTTACAGATTCCACGTCTGAAAGGGGCTTTTGTGATTCAAGTGCCTTTTAATTAAAACAAATCTTTGGGTTTAAGTCTGAAGCGCAGTTAAAACCATTATATGGAAAACACATGGCACAGTACTGGTTGTGACGACACCGAGTGAAAACCAGTGAGATCCACCAAATGACCAATGAACCGACAGCCCAGGGTCTAATCTCTTTACCTGGATTTAATTCAGCACGATCTGCCCTAAGTGACAGCGAGTGTGGGGCTCTGAGCCCGCTCTGACCTTACTCCACTGAACGTAGTCATAGTAAGACACTTTTGCACCATTAAAAATGCTTTGACTGCATATTGTGCAGATCCCATAGTAAAAAGGTAGCATTCGTTGAACAATTTCCTGAATGACAAATATCAAGACCCAGAACGATGGTGTCGTAATATTAAAGCCCTTTTTGTAATAGAAGACGATGCAACAGCAACCAAAGAGTAATCTGCGAGTCAGGGAAGGGAATAGATTGTATTGATACCAATGCAGTTAATGATTTTGCTTATCGGTCTGATTCTTAAACAATTCCCTTATTGACTCTTAATCAATTCTCTATGTGGGGAAATAAAAAAGCGTCAGTGCAACTATTTTATTATCTCTGAGAAAAAAAACAAGAGAAGAAAAAAGGCGTGCGTGTGTTTGCAAAAGCTCATCTGTTTAACTGCAGTTTAATTTGGAACAGGTTCTCAGTTTCCATCCCTAATATTTGTATATTCATTTTTATCGCGGTTCTTCTTAGTCAAAGAAAAACTCCGCTAAGCTTCTGCGTGGCAAGATTTTTCAAGATACTGCTGGTGTGAAATGAACCCGCGCTCTCTTCTTCTCCAAAATGAGATAGTTGCAAGTTTCCAGCAGCATAGATTCACGGGTTTGACATCGTTTGTTTTTGTGAAACTGTTAGAAAACCGTGGCGCTATCAATCAAGAAGGGAATTCATTCGGAGACATACGATTCCATGTGGTATCAAGACAATATTGAAACGAGCTTCCAACTGGAACCGGCTCTCATCCCTACTGCAGAAGATATAAAACAAGTGTTAATTTATAGAAAATGATATATAACATTTGTATTACATTATTATGTCAACATGTGTATATTATATAAATATCTAACAATAACAGGCAACAGTATTTAGACCGTATCCACTCAGTCCTGCACTACATAAAGTCAGCAGAGTGAGAAGGGATTAGAAAACGACTCTTCTGAATGAGCAGAGATAGATGAAGGCACATAATCTACCTTCAATCTTTGTCCTTCCTGAGAGCAACAGGAACTACAGCTCCTAGTCAGTGACAGCTCTTGTTCGATCAGAAAGAGTCTGATGTGGAATCGCACCTCTCAACCAATCACAAATCAACTAACTGAGAGGGGAAACATACAGGGAGTTAGTAGAAGTAAAATCGGCAAATAAAAGTGACAACGTGAAGCCAGAATTGAGGGAGTGAATAAGCACAACTTAAAGACAAAGAAAGGACGTTTGATCATTCCAGATTAACTAAAAGAGCTTTCCAAATTAAAGTGGGATAACGCAATTATTCCTCAAAGTTATAATCCTATCCTGTGAGCGTTAAATACCTATCAAACCTGATTACAGCAGGACAGATTGACATGTTTAACCTTGCTGTGAGTACAAAGGCAACCAAGAAATCCTTGACTACTGTACTCTTCCATCCACATCCGGCCGGTTATAACCGTCGGCCTCGTTGCCATAAAGTGGGTTATGTGATAAGACTGTGCAAGAAAATATAAACCCGTCAAGAGACGACATCCTCAAGTGTGAGCTCATGAGTTTACAGTCAGTTCACTACAGAATTCAGTCTTTATACGTGAAGCTTATGGCTATACTATATCACTGTATGAATTGAATTGAAATGTCTTTAATGTCCCCAAGGGGCAATTTGGTTCACAACAGGTAGCCAACACAGACTCATTCGCACAAACACACATAAAAACATGTAATGTGT